TAATGGTGCTTGAATTCAGGGCTTGGGCACTGTTCCCTAGCTTTTTCATTTATGGCTGGTGTTCTACCATATGAGTCATAGCTCCAAATTCTACCTTTTTGCCGATTTAATTGGAGATAAGAGTCTCCTGGACTTTCCTGTCCTGGTTGGTTTCAAATCATGATCCTCAGATCTCAGCCTCCTGAATAGCTAGGATTACAGGCCTGAGCCACTAGCTCCTGTCAATCAAGATCAATTTTTGTGGCATCAGGTCACAGAGGCATGGGAAACTGACACAGTTTCTGCGACACAGAAAAGGTTCCCAGTGATGAGAAAAGGTCCCATGTGGCCTGCTAGGCACAGATGGAGGAAAAGAGTGAGTCTTGATGGCAGAAGCCAAGAGTAGGAAGAACTACATATGAAAAACAAGTCCAGTCAAAATGAAATAGAAATGTCACCGGGGATCAGCCAGAGAAGCCCGAGTCCCAAGTGAAATGATCAAATACAGCACCATGCTAATACTGGTGGGATTGAATTGCTTTTTCATGCTATTATTTTTGTTTTGAATGTTTTAAATATGCAGGCCAGCCTGGTGCTTTGTAAAATATATATAGTAATGAAATCCTATAGGCTGGGATTGAACCATTTTCAGCTGAAAGTGTTCAAAATCTTGGATGGAAGTTGCAGAGGTAGAGGCTATTTGTCTTACCACACTCCCTGGGTGTAACATATTACTAAAATAAGGCAAGCCAGGGTTTGTTGAGTCATTTTTATAATATATGTAACTTCTGGTAACAGTTACTGGTCTGAAGGGGTTCTCTTTGTGGAGTAATTAGATAGAAAGTTCAAGGAACTGTCTTAAGAATGTGCCTTTTTGCTGTGGAATTTCTTAGTAACAGTAATTTCTCCTTTCTAGAAACATATTGACACATTCAAAACATAATGACAGTTTTTAGGTGAGGACAAAGCACTGAAAATTAATAACAATAGTTATCTCTTTGTCCTTACTTCCCCTGGTGGGCCAAATTATTGCTTGGATTTTGGTGCAGCCTTTGATCTTATGTGCCAGGTCTGTCAGAATGGCCAGAGGGTTGAGGTAATAGAGCGACCTGTGTATGGTGATTCATTTAGGCAAGCTACACTGCTGTTTCAGAGAGATAGGCTCTGTGTTGCCAAACCCCCCTGGTAGCTAGGAGAATCAAAACTATTTTGTATCTACTGTCCTTCAGTGGAAGTGGAGTTGCAGCTCCAGTGGTAGGGGACCCACCTTCAGTGAAAAAGCCAAGCAAGAATGCAGGGCCCCTGTGTTCAAACTATAGTTCTGGCCCCAAACAACAACAACAAAAAACCTGTGCTTCAAGACTCCCCAGTGAGCATGCTTTAATAATGGTGAGGAGAAGCCCATTAGATCCCCAACACTGATGAACTTCACACATAGAAATACCTTGCAAACCACAGGATGTAAACAAATGTAAGGGTTTTGATTATTAGTGTGATAAGGTTCAACTAACACCCACACGGAATAGCTTCTGTGTTTCTTTAAAAATACTTTTTGATGGTACTGGGGTTTGAATTCAAGGCCATTAGCTAGCTAGGGAGGCCCTCTACCACTCAAGCCAGGCTACCAAGTCCCTTTCTCAACTTCTAGAGGCAACTTTGTGTAGCCCTTAAGAACTTCAGGCCTGGGGCTGGGAAGGTGGCTCAGCTGGTAGAGCGCTCGCCTTGCATGCATGAGGCCCTGGGTTCGATTTCTCAGCACCACATAAGCAGAAGTGGCGCTGTGGCTCAAGTTGTAGAGCGCTTGCCTTGAGATGAAGAGCTGAGGGTCAGCACCCGGGCCCAGAGTTCAAGCCCCATGATGGGCAAAAAAAAACCAAACAAACCCTACTAAACAAAACAAAAAGCCCACAAAAACTTCAGGCTGGTAAGCTGACCTATGATTTTGATAAGAGGAAGAACTTTTCTCGTGGAGCATGGAGGTTGAGTTCTTCAGAGGGAGGGTGAGCTACAAGGAACTGGTGTGACTGGCAACTACCTACTGGAAGAATAATTTGCTTTCTTTTTGCCTTTTTTTGTAGTACTGGAGATTGAACTCAGGGGCCTGTATTCTTGCTTTTTTTTCCCCTCAAGGGTAGTACTCTATTGCTTGTGACACACTTACACTTCTGGCTTTTTGCTGATTAACTGGAGATAAAGTCTCAAGAACTTTTCTGGCAGGGTTGGCTTTGAATTGTGAGCCTCAGACCTCAGGTTTTTGAGTAACTAGGATTACAAGCTTGAGTCACCATCTCTGGCCATTTTTTTTGTGTGTGGGGGGGAAGGGGAGTGATACTTTTCCTGGAGTTTGAACTCAGGGCCTGAGCATTGTCCCTGAGGTCTTTTTTTTCCCCCCTCCCTCACAAGGCTATGTCTTACCACTTGAGCCACAGCTTCATTTCCAGCTTTTTGGTGGTTAATTGGAGATAAGTCTCATGGACTTTCCTGCCTGGGCTGCCTCTGAAATATAATTCTCAGATCTCAGCCTCTTGAGTATCTAGGATTTGTAGGCTTAGCCACCACCACCAGCTTGATTTGATTTCTTTTTATTATCTTATTTATTATTTATTTATTTTTATTGGTCACGGGTGTGGAACAGTGGGGTATCTCCGAGCTCTTCAGCTCAAGGCGCCGGCTCTACCATTTGAGCCACAGACACTTCCAGTTTTCTGGTAGTTAATTGGAAATAAGAGTCTCATGGACTTTCCTGCCTGGGATGGCTTTGAACCACGATCTTCAGATCTCAGCCTCCTTAGATCTAGGAGTAGCTAGGAGTACAGGCATGAAGTCACCAGCATCTGGCTTGATTTTATTTCTTAACAGCTGCTGTCTGGAAGAGACTTGCACAGTGTAGCAGTGGGAAACTTCACATCTAAGCCTAGGGCTGGGGATGCAGCTCTTGGGTAGAGCACTATGCTAGCATAGAAAAGGCTCTAGGTCTAATCCCCAGCATTCTCTTCGGCCTAAAATTAGGCCAAGAGATTAGTTTCACTGAGGGGTGGGGGATGGGTGTGTGCTCTGATAAAGAACTCAAATCGTCCCTGGCTGGTTTACTAATTGAAGACAGGAATGTCATTAGTCAATTCTGAAAAAAATATTTCAAATCTAGAAAGATACTCTGGCAGTTAAAGCCAATTTTGCCGAGTTCTAAAGGAGGTAAATAAGTGAGCCTTCCTACTGCACTGAAATGTAATGCTGGCTTTCACCAAGTTGGTTTCCCCATACACTCTGCAGTGTTTTGGAAACCTACTCTTATCTAAATTCTCATCAGGTGACATTGTTTAATCTAACATTTCATATATGAAAATAGCGCTAAGTACAAACGACTCTTGAGTTTATAACTTTTTTCTTTTGGTGGTTGGGAGTTTCCAATTTATATCCCCTTTCAGCAGCTGTTTTCCTGTCCCTCCCCTCCCCCTCAGGTCAAGTCAGGAAAGGACTCTAGTAGTCCCATTTCCGCCCCCCACCCCCCATCTCCCTCCACATGCGCTACCCAGGGTTCTAGAAGGAGGGAGACTGATCTGACCTTGACTGAGAACCCTTTCTAGTTACTGAGCCTCTCGGGTATCTGGTGTCCAGGCTGGTGAGTGTTACTTCACTGTGTGTGTTGTGAGATTCAGGTTTCTGGTGCAGAAAGGACTACAGCTTTCAATATGATTTATAACTATTTCCAAGGAGTGTGATGACCACGTGAAAACCAGAGCCCCTCACCCGGGAAGGCTGGCTCAGCTATCAGTTGAAGACAATAACTGATAGTGAAGTTTCAAGTTTGATCTCAGCATTTAAAGATGGTGGCTTCATGTCTTGGGGGGGGAGGGGAGGGAAGAGACTGTGACCCTCACCCCGCTTTCCCTGGCCCCGGGAAAGGTTCGCAGCCACGTGCTTTAGAGAAAGCGCCTCGGGCTGGGCCCTGCCCGCTGAACGCACCCTACCAGCCGCCTGCTGTGCCAGGAGCCCGCAAAAGGCCTGGGCCCGGAAGCTTCGGAGGTGTGTATTTAGGAAGCACTTTGGGACACTATTTGTGCGCCATCGGAGAGGATGGAGCCGACCTTCCGCGCAGAGCCCGGCCGGAAGATAACCACCTCCACATGCGGGACGCGCGCGCGCCGCGGTGACAGCTCCGCGTTTCCCCTCGGCCCCTCCCCCTCTTTTTCCTGGCGTGCGTGTTTTCTATTCGGAAAATGCTCATCACCGCGGGTCCCGCCCAACCCCCCTCTCCAGGTGCAGCGCCCTCCCCCACGCAGCCACGACACGAAGGTGCGCGTGGCTCCCCGCCCCGCGCGTCCGCCCCGCCGGGGCCCGCGGGGGAGGGGCGGGGGAGGGGGCCGGGGCGCGCCGAGGTCCGCGTCCGAATCCGCAACCGGGCGCCCCGCAGCGGGCCCCGCGGCGGCGGTGGGGGCGGGGAGCGCCCGCCGCAGCCGCCCAGCGCCCCGGGGCCGGCTTTCTTTGAAAAAGAATGCGCCGCACACGCCCAGCCCCCCGCGCCGCCGCAGCGGGCCCGGAGGGAGGGAGGGAGGGAGGGAGGGCGGGCGGGGGAAGGGAGGAGCGGAGGGGGAGGGGAGGGAGGCGCCGCGGAGCCCCTCCCCCACCCTCCCCCGCCGCGCCGCCGCCGCCGCCCGCGCGCCCCTCCCCCGCCCTCCCCTCCCCCGCCCGCCCGCCCGGCGCAGGCCGCTCGGGTTTGTTTTGCTGCGCGGCCGCCGCCGCCGCCGCCGCCGCCGCCGCGGGCCTCGCGAGCTCATTTGTGCCTGGCTGGTCCCCGTCCCTCTCCCCGGTGTGAGTGTCGGAGCCGTTGGCTGCTCCGAACCGTTTGGCTCTTTCCCTTAGTAACAGCTTTTCCCTTCTGCCTCAATTCCTCTCCGCTGCGCCCTGCCCCCCGCCCCGCGCCGGCCGCGCGCCGCCCCTCCCCGCGGCGGGAGCACCTCCGCCGCCACCTGGGGACCCGCGCCCCGCCCGCCCGCCCGCCCGCGCCCGCGCCCGCGCGCCGGGTTATAATTGCCTCTCACCCCCCGGAGGGGTTATTTTGGGGGTGGTTGGAGGCGGCGGCGCGGCGGCGAGGAGGGGAGTTTCCTGGTGCCTCCGTTCCCGGGAGGGGGAGCGGCGTCGAGGCCACCGTCCCCAGGTAAGCGCCGGGGGCCGGCCGCGGGCGGGCGGGCGGGCGGGGGGCGCGGGCGGCGGGGCCGCGGGGGAGGGGGGCCCGGCCGCGGGGGAGGGGCGCGCGGGACGCGCCTTCCCGGCTCGGCCCTTGGGGGGCTGGGGCCCGGCGGGGGAGGGGAGCGAGGAGGAGGGCGTGTGGGGCGTCCCATCCCCCGCCGCTCCGGCGGCGCTGCGAGGCTCACGTGCCCGCCCGCCCCCGCCGCTCGCGGCCTCGGGGATCCTCACCCTGACGGTGCTGTTGTGGTCCCGGCCTGGCCCCGTCCCCGCGCGCCGACCCCCCTTTCTGTGCCGAGTGTGGCCGTGTGCGGGCGCGCGAGGCGGGGAGGCTTTCGGCGGAGACTTGGCGCCGGGCTGACGCCGGAGCCATCATGAGGCCGACTCCTTTATAGCCTATTTTTAGCCGTGGAGAAGGCTCCCTTCCCCGGCCGGGCCGTGTGCTAGGACCCCGGGGCCCGCCGGCGGGCGCCCCTCCCCCCGCCCCTCCCCCTCCCTCCCCCCCCCCGCCCGGCGCGGCGACCCCGGCCGGCGTGCGGGGGGCTGCGGGCGGCTGTTGGGGCCGTGCGTCCGGGGCGGGGGCGCCGCCGGGCGGGGGAGGGGCGCGCGGGCCCGAGCCGCCTGCGGGGCGCGGGGTTGTAACTTAGTCTCCCCGCCGAGCCGCGAGGCCTCCGGTGGGCGCCTCCTGGAGTTGGGTCCGGAGTGGTAGAAGTGGCGAAGTTGTTTGCCGGCTCCGGGTAAGTTCTGGGGAGGCCGCGCCCGGTGCTGCCGGCCGCGTGAGGGGCCACGCGGGGTGCGCGCCCGCTCCCTCGCTGCGCCCCACGTCTGCCCCGGGACCCGAGCAGACTTTCACCCTGAGCGGCGGCCGGGGGGGGGGGGGGCCCTGCGTGCGGAGGTGGTCAGTATGTTCTGGAAGTTCCCGAATGTGCTGAGACTGGCGTCCCTCTCCGTGGCCCCGGGCCTCAGCGGAGCTGGGGAAGGTGGGCCGCGGGTGGGTCTTGAGAAACGCTCTTTGTTAGGTTGTCTAACTCCGTGGAACACCTTCCTGGCTACACCCGCCAGAGTGTGGGGACCTGGCTGCAAGGAGCCGCTGCTCACGGCCCGGAGTCAGAGCCAGGGTGAAAGAGTGTCTCCCGTGAGGATCTTCGGTGGGTGAAGGGAACTTCCTGTTGACTTTCTCGCTTCCCAAACTAGAACCTCAAGGCTGATCTGACAAACGCGCTAGTAAAATACCCCGGGTGGACAGTCTTTAAACCGAACGCCCCTCCCCCCCGGTACAGTCAAGCAGCCATCCCCCTCCGAGGCCCTGACCAGCTTGGGCAACACCAGGCCCCAGCCTGGTGATTTTACACAGTGACCCACACGACCTGGAGTAAATAGTGTGATTGCACATTGCTGACAGGGAGCGACTGTCTGTGCCTTCTCTGTGTGGTTCACGTCGGTTTTTGTTAAAGAAGGCTCTTTCTTGGTGTATTTCAGTAATCCTGACTTCCTGGGACTGTATGTTCTCTCACCATTTTAACAAGTTTATAGTCTGGGGAAGTAGGGCAGCTTTGTCTTTATGAAAAAAATACACCGTGTATCAGTTGGATTGTATCATGGGAGTTGATGGCAGGCTTCCCAAATTATCATTGAGAGTTCTAGAAATAGTTTGCGTTTACCTGTGGGGGAGGAGTGGCAGAACGAAAATGTGCCCGAGTTAGGCATGTGATGTGTGTTTTTACTTGCTTTAAACCGAGGCATTTTTACTCCTTTGGGATTTTTTTTTTCAGTTCTGCTGTCCTGCCCTGTGTGATATTTGCAATCACAACCATTAAATCCGTAAGCAATTTTTATGCCATTTGAACAATTAGAATGAACTTGTAAGTAGGGCAACATATTAAATGAGTGGGGAATGAAAACAATATGTGTGTGGAAAAAAAGTTTTTCTTACTGTTAAAGGAATTTAACCGACTTGTTAATGGCTTAAAAATTGTTACAAAGCTTACCACTTTTAAGACATTCATCTTCTAATACCCCTTGATTCTTTATGGAGATTATATTTTGTATTTGTTATGTCAAAGAAGTATTAAACAGCTTAAATAACTTTTTTTGAGTCAGTCATCCTGGAGCTTGAACTCAGGTCCTGGGCACAGTCTGTGAACTTTGCTTAAGGCTAGCACTCTACCAATTGAGCCACAGTGCCACTTGAGGCTTTTTCTGAGTGGATTCTTGGAGATAAGAGTCTCACAGACTTTCCTGCCCTCACTGGCTTTGAACTATGATCTTTGGATCTCAGCCTCCTGAGTAGCTAAGGAGTACAGCTTTGTGCCATTGGTGTCTTATGGAATAACTTCTTATATAGGTACAGGAATCATTTTTTGTGTTTGTGTTGCTGAGGTTTAAGATTTTTACATGATTACCATAATACCTATCAAGAGAAGAAATAACTAGTTCCTGTGTATCAAGAGCCTTTCAAGCAAATGAGGAGAAAGGGCAGCAACTTACATAAACAGGAGTTACTGATAAAAAGAGGTGTGATTAATGGACCTTTGGAACAGCAGTCTGTTGAGTAAATACATTAGTTCACTGTAGTTCACTTACAGCACTGAAGATCTACTACCTCCTCTGGCGAATGACTGCGGAGTCCCCTTCCAAAGCTTACAGCAGAATTATAGAGAATTTCTTCATAGTGTTGTTTCTTACATTTTGTTACAGTATTTTCATTTGCATAAATTAGTGTTACCCGTGATTTTAATTGTGATATTTAAATCATGCATATGATGTAATTTGATGAAATTTATCTTTTTTTCTTCTTGGAGCTGGTCCTAGGGCAGAGCCTGGGCACAGTCCCTGACTAGTACTCTACGACTTTGAACCACAGCATCATTTCTGGCTTTTTGGTAGTTATTTGAGTCCCATGGACTTTTCCTTTCCAGGCTGGCTTTGAACTATGATTCTCAGAACTCAGCTTCCTGAATAGTTAGGAATACAGGTGTGAGCCACTGGCACCTGGCTATATTACCCTTTTTTAAAACCTTTTTCTCCTTTTAAATTATTTTTTTAGTGTGTTTCATCATACTATGTTCATATGTATGTAATAGACTTTGCTTGTATTACTGAATGATTTCAGACTCAACACATGTAAGTGGAGTTAGTGGGAATAGGTTTGTTATTTATATAAAAAGAATAAAGAAAAAAGTGAATTGGAGGAAGTCAAGGAAAGAGATGGTAGAAATACTGGCACTGTCTTGGATTTTGTATTTTTCTAGTACATGTGAATTTGATTCATATCACAAAGACATTTACAGTGTAACTCATTGAAATGCGAAAGAGAGATACAGCTAACTCGGAACATTTATTTATTTTGTTTGGTCCTAGGGCTTGAACCCAGGGTCTGGGTGCCGTCGTTGAGCTTTTTTTGTTCAAGGCTAGCTAGCACTCTGCTACATGAACCACTTCCAACTTTTTGGTGGTCAATTGGAGATTAGAGTTTCATGGACTTTTCTACCTGTTGATTAGCTAGGATTACAGATGTGAGCCACTGGTACCACTATTATTTATGTTTTGATTAAAATGTCCCTATGGTGAAGAAAATTTGTGTAGCGTAAAATAGAACAGGTGGAAATGTTCAGGTACAGACCACTATGGGCTGTAACATGCTCCACACCAACAGAACCTTGACCAAAGCCAGCCACAATTATCTAGAGAGCTAACGTTGAACTGATTGACGCTCTGCTGCCTCTGGGGTTGATTGTACTCTGTAAAAGCACAATTATCATCCTTTCGCCATAAACCATTTTGCCTTGCGGTGCCAGGGTTAGGAGGTATGAGATGCTTTTGGAATCATTTATTTATTGGTTCTGATCCTGGGGCTTGAACTCAGGACCTGAGCACTGTCCCTGAGCTTATTTGCTCAAGGCTGGTGTTCTACTACTTGAGCAACAGTTACACATTTGGCTTTTTTGGTAGTTAATTTGAGATGAGTGTCAGGGACTTTGTTCCCTTGACTGGCTTTGAACCATGATCCTCAGCTCTCTAACTCCTGAGTAGCTGTGATTACAGGCATGAACCACCGCTGCCTGCTTTAATGTTGATATGACAGGCTAGTCCTGAGAGGTCTGTAGTGTTGGACTGTGTGTATGAAATAAGCACAGAGAGGTTATGTAGATTGTCCAGGGCTACAAAATGATTAGATGATGTACTAGGATCCAAACTTAGGTCAGTGTGACCATGTTGTTTCTACATAAACCTATTGGTGACAGAATTTCACAGCTGTTTTGTCAGTCTTGGTCTGTAGCTGTTTTCACCAAAGCATGTTTGTAATCAAGTTTATAGTACTGTAGGGTATCTCTGGGTCAACTGATTGCATGGGTAAATGAAAGTCTTAGGATTCACATCATTATGTTAAATGCTCTAGCATTATTAAATGATGGGTGGTTCTTGTCACCTCTGTCTTCCTGCCTTAAGATGGGCAATGGGCAATGGTGAAAGTAGCCTTGAAATCTTGCCAGCAGAAAAATAATATCCTATGCTTAACAGTAAGGAAGAAAAGCAGTTAGGAATATACCTGTTGTCAGAGTATATTTCTTAAAACTTCTGCATTACAAATCTGTGTGTGTGCGCACGTGTGCAAGCACGCCCACACACACACGCCCACACACACGCACACGCCTGCGCCAACCCTGGGTCTTGATCTCAGGGCCTGGGTGCTGTTCCTGAGTTTTATGCTCAAGGCTAGCACCACTGGAGCCACTGTTCCACTTCAGGCTTTTTTTTTCCTGCCTGGTGTGGCTTTGAACTGAGATCCTCAGTTCTTAGGCTCCTGAGTAGCTAGTATTACAGACATAAGCCATGAGTACATAACTTCATTTTAAGTGTATATGTTGAATAGTGGTTTGAGCAAGGGTTCTTGTGGAGAACTATTTGGGTTCAAACTCAAGGTCTGTCAAGACTTTGGGGTAGTAACTCTCCTTCCCTCTGTGCAGAGTG